GCAAACTTATCTCATAAAGGGCCTGCAATAAATTCTGTTGGATGCAACCCTTGTCCTCCACAACTTATCGGTTTACAAAGCTCATACCATGTCGTATAATGTAACCCACGATTACCTCCTTGCTTGTTCCATATAAAATCCCTACACATGTTATCAATCTTTTTCAGGATACTCATAGGTACCAAGGAATGTGAAGCAAAGAAAATTGGGATGGATAGAATCACTGATTTAATCAAGACCAATCTCCCTGCTAAAGAAATGAGCTTGTTCCCCCATACACTTAGCTTGCAAGAAGCATTTTCCAATAGATTTAAAAAACCCGAAGATACCAACCTCCTCAATGCCACTTTAATTCCCAAATAGTTCATTTTCTATACTTCCTTGAATCTCAACAAGTTCAAGATTTTCTTTCTAGACCTCCATCTAACAGTACTTACAAAAATAATGCTAGATTTATCAGTATTAACAACCTTCCCCGTCCACAAACAGTAATTAGAAATAAATTTTTAATATTTTTCACATATTTGAACTTGGCTTCAGAAAACATTAGAATGTCATCAACATACATCAAATGGTTGATCTTTGGTGCATTCGGAGCAGTTTTATACCCAAATAATTCCTATTGTGGGAAAATGCATTGGATAAGAGCTGAGAACAAAGAATAAACTAATATGGAGAAAGAGCACAACCTTGCCTAAAGCCACTTTTAGCTTCAATCCATTCTGAATTATTACCATTAATAAGAACAGAAAATTTGGGATCAACCACACATTCCAATAAAAGATTAGAAAACCGTAAAGAAAATCCATAATTTTCCAAAACTTGCTTTAGAGAAGGCCAAGTCATACTATCATACGTTTGCTCAATATCGATTTTAATAGCCACCAAACCCTTCTTAGATTTAGAATATCTAAACTTGTTGAAAAGTTCTTGAACAAGCAAAATATTATCCGATAAAGTCCTTCCCTTTATGAAAGCCACTTGTATATCCGAAATTAGTTTATGAATAACCATCATGAGTCTATTTAATAAGACTTTAGCCACAATCTTATAAATAGACAAGCACAAACTAATCAGACGAAAATGACAAGGAATAATAGGATATTTAACTTTAGGAATAAAAATAACAAGCGTCTCCATCCACTTAGCACACATTTTACCAGATGTAAAAAACTGAAGGATTGCAAGCCAAACATCTTGACATATAACATTCCAATAAGTTTTCAAAAAAGAATAAATGATGCCATCAGCTCCAAGAGAAATATTCATACCTATGCTTTTCTGGCATCAGCTCCAGGAGAAATATTCATACCTATGCTTTTCACCACAGCTTCCACTTTATAAAATGAAAGATCAACATCCATAAGCCTAGAGTCTTCCAAGCTTAATTTGAATAGAGACGGAGGCCAACCACTCAGCCTACAATCCCACTCCCTCTTTTTATTTTTAAAGAATTTAAATACAATTTCCTCAATGTCGACCTGAATATCCACAAGATTTCTTTGTTCATCCTTCAATTGATTAATGAAATTAGCATTCCTCTTACCATCAGCAAATGCATGAAAAAACATAGAGTTCTTATCACCTTCATCCAACCACTTCACCTTCACCCTCTGTCTCCACCAGGTGTTTAGCCGAGCAAGCGTCACATTTAATTCATTAACCTTGGACCTGAGCACCCATAGCTTTGCATCAGATAGTCCACCATCATTAGGTTCCTCCAATTGAAAATCAGCTACCTCCCTTTTAGACTTATCCTTCAAACCTGATAACTCTCTCATTTTAGCTTTACTCCAAAAATATAACGCTCTTAAAGATTTATTAAACTTCATATTAAGGGCCTCTATCAGATTGCCAATTGAAACCTCTCTCATTTTAGCTTTACTCCAAAAATTGAATGCTCTTAAGGATTTATGAAACTTCATATTAAGGGCCTCTATCAGATCGCCAATTGAAACCTTGCTCCATGTTTCACGAAAGCTGGGTAAGACACCCAAACATCCTCAAATCTAAGGAATTTCTTCTTATGAACTTCTAAATGGAAAATTTTCAACACTATCGGACAATGGTCTGATGCTACCCAAGCCAAATGCCTTGTTGTTGCTTGATGGATTATCTGAAGCACTTTAGAGTTCAAAAGATGCCTATCAAGTCTTTCCAAAATCCGAGCACTTCCAACTTTATTATTACACCAAGTAAACATTCTTCCAATTAAACCCCACATCATGATAATCATTATTGTTCATAAATGATTTCATTTCTATAGGATCAAGAGAAAATTTAAACTTTTTCCCTCCTCTCTTATCATCTTGGGATAAGATACAATTAAAATCACCCCCTATGATAGAAGGAAGGCTCGAGCTCGAGAATAGTTCCAAACACTCCCACAACCTCCTTCTACTATACAAATCACTATTACCATAAACCTTAGAGATCAACCAAGTAGTATTATTCTTAAAATAATTCAATTCCCCAATAACACATTGGGATGAATTCTTCAAAACTGAGAACGAAACCAAATCAGATTTCCACAAAGTCATAATACCCCTCCGACAAGCCATCAGAAGGATGGATGAAAACATCCCAATCATTTCCCAAGATTTTACAAAACTCCCTCTTGTCAACCAAAGAAATCTTTGTTTCTATAATGCCAATAAAAAAAACATCCCAATTTTTCACAACTTCTTTCAAGTAAAGAGAAGCTATCTTTTTATTTGCCCCTCTACAGTTCCAAAAAGCAATTGAACTCATTTAACCACAAAGGGGGAAGGACCCCCACCCTTCTCTTATTCATACCTCCAACCTTTCTACTTCTTATGGAAGAATTCAATGGACCAAGAGATCTCAGCTCCATAAAAAGTTTCGATTTGGAACTTCCAGAAATGGAACTAAGCATCCCCTCCAATACATTTGATCTGGAATCAGCAACCCTTTCCTTATCAGCCGAAGACTCTTTCAAACAATCCTTGACAATAGTAGATTCCACCAATTCACCCACCTCAAAGTCACCCCTCTCCAAATTAGCCCCTTCTGTAATATTATCTCCATCTTCATCAACAGAATCTAGTACTTTAAAGTTTAAACATGTTGTTTCCAGCACTAGTAGAAAATTCCAGACCTTTAACATTTTCTGTAGAAATTACAGGATCAGCCAGAATAACCTCCGATTCATCAATTATTTTCGTAACACCTATCTCAATGCCTTCAGATTCAGGAGCAACACTATCTTGCACTGTAACTTCCTGTCCAGCAACTTCTTTAACCACAAAGCTTGGAAGAGAAAGCCTTGTCCGATCATGAACAGATTTAGGAACAAAAATTTGTTTCCTTGGGGCAGCCTTAACCTTTCTCTTCCTTCTATAATTAACATGGACTCAAGGTCCATAAGTAGAGTTTTCATCTGATTCTCCTATCAATTTAGCACCCTTCATAGACTCTGTATTTCCAGAAAATTTTTCTAGAAACACAACTTTCTTTAGAATTTTATCTTCACCATCCGCTTCCTTCAAATTACAATCATTAATCAAATGACCAATTTTCCCGCATTTATAGAAAAATGATGATACTTTTTCGTACTCCACCTTTTGAAAAAACCGCCCATCCAAACCATCCACCCATACTCTCAATGAAAATTGCTTGTCAAGTTCCACACGGCCACAAACCCTTGCAAACTCCCTTCTCCCCCATTGAAGCATGTTACCATCTAGCATGAGCGAAGTACCCACCAACGAAGCAATCCTGGACACGTTGATCTCATCCCAACAATAAAGAGGAAGAATAGGCATTCATATCCAAACCGGCAAAGATAACCCTTTTAATGAAGTAGGAGAAAATTTGAAACACCATTTATCAAGTCCAACAATATGACCATTCACAAACCAGGGTGCACCTAATAACACACTTTCCATGGCTTCTAATGAGAAAAAAGAACATTCCATCCTAACCAAGCACTGTTATATGGAATTTCCCAAAATGCAACCATTGACGTCATAATTAAGCGACTATCAAATGGACTGGGACATCTCTACCAAAAATAACAACCACCAAGAATTGAAGCCTTTCAGAATTGGATAAAACATTAGGGTTATGCAGTTTAACAGCTACCCCGTCTTCGGACATAAATGAATCTTCTTTAACTAAATTTCTTTTGATATGAGGACGTTTAGGCCAAGGATTGCCTCTGTTCATCTGAATGCCTAAATCCTTATTAAAACTTCCTTGTACTACAAATTATGATCCCTCTTTTTGAGCAAAATCACAAACAGTTGAAGAGTCGTCGTGATTGTTTTGAACTGAAGGGTCTCCCTCTAAGATCGTCGCATTCTTAGCCATCACATAGCCAAATTTGTTTACAAACAGGTTCATGCCAGCAGACGACGATGCTTCATAGTCCTTCAGTCTAATTTTCCCAATAGACTGAGGAGTTTTAGATTCAGAACCATCAGCCGCTTGTTTTCCCTTACCAGAGATAGGCTCAAAAGCTTTAACAAGAACATCCGCAGGTTCCTTAATAATCAAAGGACGAAAACCACCATGTAACTTCAAACGAACAAGTTGATGAATTGTATGGGGCGAAGGGATTGGTGAATCATCAGGTTTCCGATCACCGGAGACGACGGCCGAAGGGCCAACCAGCATTTCCGAAAAGACCGCCAAACGAAGAAGAAGAAATTTTAAAATTTTCTCTCACTACAAACCTGGAGTTTCTCTCACTACAATTGAGCTGTTTAGTGAATAACTAATAGATCCTTTGTTAAGAGTAGTGTAGATTCACTCTATTCCTAAAGAAAATTAATGAGTTTTATTAAACAGATTATACTTCTCGACCATATGAACATCAACTATGTCCTTAATGCACTTCGTAAGGTGGGTTGTAACCAGGCTATACTGCTTTATAAAAACTCAGGGAGGCGCTAAGTTTAAATACCAAAGTGAATTAAACCAAAACCATTAAAAACCAGAAGAATAAGATACAGCATTCTTTTATAAGCATGCCATAGTGCTAGCGGCAGAATTCAAATATAATGGTAATGCACCAAAGGCACTACCTCATATGTAACTACCAACAATAATTTAAAAATAAGAAAATCATAACAATATACTAAAACATGTTTACGAATTGACACCTGAGCTTCCTCCATCAAGACATCACTCCCTTCAGTGTTTCCATCAGAACCATTTCCCTGAGCTGGCTGCAACGATGTACCAACATCGTCAGGTTTGCTCTCATCATCCGATTTTACATTAACCTCTTGTTTTTGTTCAAGTATAGATACCTGTAAACATATCACATTACGCCAATCAGATAAACAACAATTGGAACAGTTCATGCAAAAATATTGTGTAAGCCATTAGTAGGGAAATGGAGAAAACTAACAACATTAAAATATTTCACGTAAATTGTACTCGTATAATAGCTAGGCAACAGATAAGAAGTCAGAACAGCTAGAATGGGAAACAAATCTGGGGAAGAAAGTGAAAGTTCTATCTCTGGAAACTAAAATCCAGTCAAACCATAGAAAAGGATTTTCTGATTCATCATGGTGGTTCCACCTTTAGTAGGTCTAACATTTAATAACAGAGCAGTAGACCTCCATAATACTCTCAGCATTGCAAAGCATCTCTTAATTTATCACTTCAAGTGCTATTTATTTCATTTATCATCCATGAGTAAGGGGTTATTTGGCTATCTATAAAATGGATGTAAAGTAATTCAAATGTATGAGTTTTGATAATTTTAATGTTTTCTTTAAGTAAAATAAATGCAAAGTAAAAATTTGATACATTTGGAATTCACCTTCTAGTCATTTTTTGTGCATTTCAAATTTCTCAGATTTGGGCGAGTTCCAAATAAACCCAAAAATTATTACAATTGCCACCGACCGACGACCCACCGCCATCTAGGGTGTGAAAATTTGACCCAACCCGAAACCCAACCCAAAAAATTTAAGGTTCGAATGGGTTTGGGTTTCAGTTCGGGTTCAGTTATCCAACCCATTTATAAATATGGGATGTGTCCAAGTTGACACGAAAACAACCTGGATTGACCCGATTTACACACATCAGACGATTGACCCCATGACCAACGCCCCTCGTCTCGTGAACATCAGCACCATACTCGAGTCAAGGGCTAGACCTGCTCCATCGCTCGCAACCAGACCTCCAGCGACCCGCGCCTGTGTCGCGCCAGCGCCGAGCTCGCCTCTCGCAATCTCGCCCTTATCGCGATCGTCGTTGCCTGCATATTGCGCCAATGCTGTGACGTTGACACGCTCCCATTTTCATTGCCACTTTTCTTCTTCCAAGTTCAAGAACTTGGTGCCCCATTGCTCAATCCGTGATTTCGTGATATGATTCCTTTATCTTCGCTTTTATATTGCCTTATCTCAGACTATCTAACTTCCAGCAATGGATTATGGCTCCGATCTAGTGGATTAACACCTCCGCATGGTGAGAGGAGCTGTCTCTCCTCTCGTGGATGGGCTTTCGCACGCCGCAAAGGATCTCGAGTCCCATTAGCTGGATTTGAGGAAAAAGATAAAGGAGAGTGGATTTCCTGGTAGATTTAGTGGTTTGGGGAAGAGAAGCGATTTCCATGAAATGGTGGTAGTCTCTGGTGATGTTGGTGATGAAGAAAGCATCATGCAACTGATGATGGAAGGAACAATCTGTTTGTAAAGAAGAACAAGAGTCTAATCTTGCGCAAAAACTTGACGAAGCACCTCATTTGCGACCTCACAGCTCGTGAAACTCGTCCGTTTTGGAATAAAAAAGGGTCCGTGGGTCGGGTCAGGTCAACTCGGTAACCCACGGGAGTCGGATCCGGGTTCAAATACCTAACCCGTTTACAAAAATGGATCGGGTTATGGTCAACCAGTTTAAACCCAGATTAATCCAAGTTCGACCCAAACCCAACCCGCGAACCTATTTTGATACCCATATTGCCGCCACCGCGGGCCACCGCCATGGCCTCCAACCACCCGGCCACCATCATTGCCAGCCTACCTCCCACCACCGACCACCACTGCTGACCACCACCGCCAGCTGCCCACTAGCCGGCCTCCACCAGCCACACTACCACCAATGTCAACCACCAACCACTACCTATGATGCACGGACACGAACACGGCGACACGGACACGACACGACACGGACACGGGACACGGCTTTTTTTTAAAATATAGGACACGGGTACGACGCAGACACGGCAATACATTTTTTTATATAGTGTATATATATTAATGTAATATCATATTAGAAATGACAAGCATAATAAATGAATGACATGATAACTTGTCTAGCTTATAATATACAATATTTAGTACAAAATATCTAGTACAACTACAAAAATATAAGCAAATAATCACTTACTACAACATCAAGCATTCAAGCTTCAACTATTAGGATTAGCTTTAGAGGTTTGTTTTTGGCCTTCAATATCATCATCATTGAATATCACTACTTTCAACTCT